CCCGTGGGGGTGAGGATGGCCCAACTTGTTCCTATGGGGTTGAAGAAGGCCCAACTTCCTCATGCTCTTCATCACTCTCCTCTGACGCCTCAGAATCATCACTATCAGTTGAACTGGGTGCCACCGTGTCTTTCCCAATGGTCACTTTGGATGCCCGAAACATTGTTTCTTTCTTCACCTTGCCATCCACATTGGGGTTCTCTGGCACCCCTACAGCTCGGCACAATCTAGTGACCAGAGATGGGAAGAAGAACCCATACCACCTCAATGTTGAATGGATGAACATCTCAGATTGAATAACCTCGGCCACATCAAAATCCTGGCCATTCACGAAGCACCAGATCGAAGCAGCTCTCGGACCAATTACCTTAGTGGTGTTGTGGGACGGCAGCAGTCGACTATTGATGATGTACAACCAACACTTTCCTTCAAAGGTGAGTGAGGCAGAGTGCAACTTCGATCCGGTACAACCCACACTACCTCTTTGTCTGGTACACAGATAGTTTGGAAAAACAATTGCCAATTTGTGGGTTCTCTCTTGTAAGTATCATAGTAATACTCCGCCCCAGTAAATGCAGGCAAGTGATACACTCTCCTGATGGCTTCAATCGAGGCATTCACCCTCTTTTGTCGCACAGTGCAGATGTGATCCTCATGTTCAGAGCAGTTGGCATAGAATTCCCTATCAAGCATTAAGTTACCGTCCTCCGGCTCTTCGAAGAAGATGTCTAGCATGAACCTCATCAACTCCCTATACATATTAGGGCATTCAGCTTGGAGGGAACCCCGGTCAACACCCCTTTCTAGTACAGGCTTTCTAATAGCCTTCCAAGTGAAACGGCCTTGGGCAGCCCGTGCCCGGGATGAGCCACCGGTAGTATGTCTCTTCTTTGAAGATCTCATGGTACCTACACAACAACCACCATTATCAATAATCGGCGGAATAGGTGAACCAAGGGCGGTTACTCAGACTTCACTCGCACCCTTGGTCACAATTTATACTAAAAAGCTCATTGTCGCAATTCAACAAACACCTAGTGTGCATATGCCCCCCAAAGTACCCAAAGACCCAATTAAACTCCCATTCTTCACAATTTAACAATGTCTTTCCAACCCAACCAACCTAATGTCCGCACATACCAACATATGTACCAACAAACAAAAATAAAGATAAGAATACCCATATTTCTACTTTCCTACACTTACAGTCGAAAAACAAAACAAGAAAAAACTAAATGAAGAAAGTAGAAACATGTACTTACTTGAGAATCTCGTGAGGAATGGAGCTTGGGTAGTGGTTGAGTAGAGAAGAGGGAGAAGGAAAGGATGTGGTGAAGTTAAAAAAAATTAGGGAGAAGATGGGGGAGGGTTTCGTTTTTTTCAGAATTGGGGAAGGGGAAGGGGAGGGTTTTGTTTATGTTATGTTGTTTTTGGTTAAGGTTGGAGGGGGGGATAATGGGGGAGTGGGCGAATGAGGGGGGGTTAATTAAAAAACTAATTAAAAAGGGACTAAGGGAAAAGAAAAGAAAAGAAAAAAATTAGAAAAACTAAACCTGAACGGCGCCAGGATCGCGGCCGCGGACAAAACATTTGCAAACTCCACGGTTGATCCGCGGTCAGATCTGCAGCCGCAGATTAGGCATATCTGCAGCCGCAGATTAGGCATCAAATTTTTTTTGCTTTTTTGCATTTTTGCCTATCTCCCGGATAATTTTGTCACCCCGAGTCCTTCCGCTGCGCATACCTTTGTTCCTGCACCTAAGTAGATCGATCAATATTGTCACCATTCAAAAATCAATTACAAAAAAATAAGAACAAAGAAAACAATTGATGGGTTGCCTCCCAACAAGTGCCTAATTCAATGTCGCGGCACGACGGTTTGCAACAAACCATGGATTGCCTCCCAGGAAGCGTCTGATTTAACGTCGCGGCACGACGCAGGCTTTCATTATTGTTCTTCGCTCATATATTGGGGCTCTTCCAAATATATCACCACTCTATCCCCCTTTTCTTCGACCATTCCAAGGTAATGTTTCAACATTTGCTCATTTACTTTGAACTTATTTGTTCCATCTTCGGATTCAATTTCCACAACTCCACTTGGGAAAACTTGCACCACTCTAAAGGGTCCTGACTATCGGGACTTCAATTTACCCAGAAACAATCTTAATCTCGAGTTGTATAACAACACTAGATCTCCGGGTTTGAAGTTCCGATCTAGGATATGCTTATCATGCATCATTTTCATCCTTTCTTTGTACAATCTTGCATTCTCAAATGCATGGAACCTGAATTCCTCGAGTTCATGTAACCCAGTGATTCGACTGGTGCCTGCGATCTCCTTATCCAAATTCAACTGCCGCAATGCCCAAAGGGATTTATGCTTGAGCTGACCGGAAGGTGACATGCTTTTCCAAACACCAACTTGTATGGTGACATACCAATTGGAGTTTTAAATGCTGTGCGGTACGCCCATAATGCATCATCCAGCTTCTTCGCCCAATTAGTCCTTGTCGCATTCACTGTCTTGGTTAGGACACTTTTGATTTCCCAGTTTGACACTTCAACTTGCCCGCTCGACTGTGGGTGATAAGGGGTGGTCACCTTATGACGAACTCCATACTTTTCCAACAGTCGTGCGGACGCTCTATTGCAAAAATGGGTTCCACCAACACTGATTATAGCTCTCGGGGTGCCAAAACGTGTGAAGATATTTTTCTTTAGAAAGCCTGTCACCCCCTTTGCATCATTAGTTGGGAGAGCCACAGCTTCAACCCATTTGGAGACATAGCCAACTTCCACCAGTATGTATTTGTTACCATACGAGCTGACGAATGGCCCCATAAAGTCAATCCCCCACATGTCAAATACCTCCACCTCTTGAATGGTAGTCATTGTCATCTCGTGACGTCAAGATATGTTGCCTATCCTTTGGCACTCATTGCATCTCTTCACCCAAGCATGGGCATCCTTGAACAGAGTTGGCCAATACAAACCCGATTCCAACACTTTAGCTGCTGTCCGAATCCCTCCAAAGTGTCCACCATATGGTGAAGCATGGCAAGCCTGCAAAACAGAAGGTTGATCTTTCTTGGGGATACACCTCCGGATCATGTTATCTACACATATTTTAAAAAGTAGAGGTTCATCCCAATAATAAAACCGACAATCGCGAAAGAACTTTTTCTTTTGAATTGAAGAAAGTTCATAAGGTACAATACTGCTTGCTAAATAATTAGCAATATCAACATACCATGGTGTCTCCTCCATTGTCACTGCTAGTAACTGTTCATCTGGGAATGTCTCTATTATATCTTCAACCTCTACCTTCTTTTCAACTCCTTCCAACCTTGAGAGGTGGTCTGCTACCTGGTTCTCTGTCCCTGTTCTGTCACGGATCTCCAGATTGAATTCTTGTAGCAAAATAACCCAGCGGATCAATCGTGGCTTTGACTCCTTCTTTGCAATCAAGTACCTAATTGCTGCATGGTCAGTATAAATAATAACTTTTGAACCAATCAAGTACGACCTGAATTTGTCGAATGCAAAAACTACAGCCAGCATCTCCTTTTCCGTCACGGTGTAATTGAGCTGTGCACCGCTTAGCGTTCTGCTTGCATAATAAATTGGGTGCATCGGCTTATCCTTTCGCTGCCCCAAGATTGCTACTATCGCATAGTCACTTGCGTCGCACATGAGCTCGAACGGTTGCTCCCAATTGGGTGCAACAATGATGGGTGCAGTTACTAATCTCTTCTTCAGCTCTTCAAATGCTAACCTCCAATCATTAGAAAACACAAAGGGCTGGTCCTTTTCAAGGAGTTTGCATAAAGGGTTAGCAATCTTAGAGAAATCTTTTATGAATCTCTTGTAGAACTCGGCGTGCCCAAGGAAACTTCTCACTGCCTTGACCGAAGTGGGCGGTGGCAACTTCTCAATCACGTCAACCTTAGCATGGTCAACCTCAATTCCCTTGCTGGACACTCAATGCCCCAAGACTATCCCTTCTTGTACCATAAAATGGCACTTATCCCAATTCAGCACTAAATTTGTCTCCACACATCTTTTGAGCACTCTTCTTAAATTGTGAAGATAGTCCTCGAATGAATCCCCCACCACGGAGAAATCATCCATAAATAACTCCATAATGTCTTCAACAATGTCCGTGAAAATGGCTAACATACACCGCTGGAATGTAGTCGGTGCATTGCAAAGTCCAAAAGGCATTCTCCGAAAGGCAAAGATGCCATACGGGTAGGTGAATGATGTTTTCTCTGTCTTCGGGGGCTATTGAGATTTGATTGTACCCCGAATATCCATCCAAGAAACAGAAGTGAGATCCCCCAGCCAACCTGTCCAGCATTTGGTCAATGAATGGCAAGGGAAAATGGTCCTTCCGGGTGGCTGTGTTCAATTTCCAATAATCCATGCAAATCCGCCATCCCGTGACAGTACGAGTTGAGATCAACTCGTTATTCTCATTTTGTACGACTGTCATTCCTCCCTTCTTCGGCACACACTGAACAGGGCTGACCCAATTGCTGTCAGAGATGGGGAAGATGATACCCGCATCTACCCATTTGATCACTTCCTTCTTCACCACCTCTTTCATATTTGGGTTCAGCCTTTGTTGATGTTCTCTGGAAGGTTTGTGCCCTTCTTCCAAGAGAATCTTGTGCATACAAAAAGCTGGGCTGATACCCTTGATGTCTGCCATGGTCTAACTGATAGCAGTCTTACATTCTTGTAACACCTGTAGGAGTTGCTCTACTTGCATAGCTAGCAAACCGGATGATATAATAACAGGTAAAGTAGAATTAGGCCCTAAGAAAGCGTACCTGAGATGCGCTGGAAGCAGTTTTAGGTCCAACTGTGGTGGCTCCTCTATCGATGGTTTTGCATGTGGTGTTGTTCTTTCTTCTAACTGTAAGGGCTCGAACTCAGGTTCCCTTTTCCAGAACCCTTGACCTTCAAGGGCCATGACCCACTCTGCCAACTCCTCACCATCCACATTTTCCAGATTCATCAAACAGGTCTAACGGATCCCTAACATTAATAGTCTCATCCTCCTCTTGTAGTATTACATCTACGACCTCCACTAGTGAGCAATTTGCAAATTCGCTGAGTCTCCTCATAGATTGTTGAACATTGAATATTATCTCTTCATTGTTCAACCTCATTTTCAATTCTACAGTCTCACAATCAATCAATGCTCTTCCAGTGGCTAAAAAAGGCCTGCCCAGAATGATTGGTATCTCCTCATCTACTTGACAATCAAGAATGACGAAGTCTGCAGGGAATACAAATTTCCCCACTTGAACAAGCACATCATCAAAAATCCCTGTCGGTCTTTTGATTGTGCGATCAGCCAGTTATAGCAACATTGAGGTCGGTCTAGCTCTGCCAATGCCCAGTTTTGTATAGATTGCCAAGGGCATTAAGTTTATACTGGCCCCCAAGTCATACAATGCATTAGCAAAAGCATAACTCCCAATGGTGCATGGAATAGTGAAACTACCTGCATCAGACACCTTTTGAGCCATAGGCCTTGTCACTACTGCGTTGTAGGTCTGCGTCTGAGTTACAGTGGACAGGTCCTGGAAGTCAAATTTTTGCGACATCAGGTCCTTCATCATTTTTGCATACCCTGGCATCTCCCTCAAACATCCATCAGTGGAATATTCAATTGAATTTGTCTGAGCATTTCCATGAATTTCCTATATTGATCATCTTTCTTTTGCTTTGCCAACCTCTGAGGGAATGATGCAGGAATCAACCTCTGCCCACTGCTATGTGTCTTTTCTTTGCTGGAAACTTTTTCTACTACCTATTTTGGAAGTTGTTCACCTTCCTTCTCCTTACCCTTGTCAACCTGTGCTTGCTCAATTACAACCTCGGTGAGCTCTGCTGACTCATCTGCCTCTAATGTAACTGGGGTAGCTGGAGTAGTCGGTGTTGTCTCTCTCCTAGATTGAGCAACTTCTTGCTCCCTATCGAAATCTCTCCCATTCCCGAGACTCACTGCCATGAGCTGATTTGGATTCTGCTCCTTTGGGTTAATGTTTGTATCTGCAGGCAATGTTCCATGTGGGCGATTGTTCAATGCCATAGATAGTTGTCCCAATTGAGTTTCAATGCCTTTGATTGTTGAATCATGTACAGCTAACTTCTCTTGCATCTTTCCATTTGTCCCAATGAGTTGTTGCAGCATACCCCTAATTTCGATCATGTTACTATCCTGCTGTTGATGAGGTGGTTGGTAGGCCAACTATTGTTGGTGCTGCTGATTATAGCCCTGCTGCCTTTGATGAGGCACGACTTGTGCTGTGGCTGTTTTGGTCTATATTGCTGGTTTGATGTTGGTCCCTATTGCTGCTCACCTTGCCTCTGACCTCCATAATTATTGACATAATTCATGTCTTCTCTGAAACCCTGGTTGTCATTCTACCCACTCTATGAACACACATATGACTGGTTTATGCAAGGAGTGCATAAGCTTTCATTTGTGGTATCAACAATGTGCACCTGTTTCGTACCCATCTCATCGATTTTCTTTGTCAGCAAGCTCATCTGGGTCATAAGAGTGGCTATGTTTTCTGCATTTGTGTTGTTTGGGTCAAGAGCGATAGAATACACTATTGGAGTGAGTGTTGTGTCTCTCGTCATCCAGCCTGAATTTTGAGACATCATGTCAAGAAGAACCTTACACTCTATGAAGGTTTTGCTCAAGAATGCACCCCCGACAGAAGCATCCACATTGGCCTTCAAACTGTCAGCCAAACCCATATAGAATCTCTGTCCCAGCATCTGATCCGGAACGCCATGGTGAGGACACTTCACCAACATATCCTTAAACCTCTCCCAGGTCTCTTGTAAAGTCTCAGTCGGTTTCTGCCTGAATTGCAATATCTCATCAATCTTCCTCGCAGTTTTGTTGGGTGGATAAAACTTATTTAAGAACTGATTGACTAGTTCCTCCCAAGTAGCAATGGAGTTTATTGGGAGCGAATTCATCCAAGTTTGAGCCTCACCAGTCCCTGAGAATGGGAACAGTAATAATTTGATTGCCTCAGGAGTCACATTCGGCTGTCTTTGAGTGACACATATTGATAGAAAGTTCTTTAGATATTGTTCTGGGTCTTCGATGTATGACCCGGAGAACAGCCCTTTATTCTGTAACAGGTGCAGAATATTGTTGGTAACTTGGAACGTCTCTGCTTGTATAGGAGGAACCGCAATTGCTGTGGCCAAGTTATCAGCAGTTGGTTGCGCCCAATCATAAAGATCAGCTTCCGGCACAAGAGGTGCTACCACACTAACGTTTAGGTCATCTCGACCATTCCTGTTGTTCCCGTTGACGTTGTTTACGTCATCCATTTCAATTTCAATTTGTTCATTTTGTTTCAGCTATTTGCTCTTCTTGTTAGCCCGGTTCAATGTCCGGAATGCTTTCTCGGGATCTGAGAGTCCTTCAAAGAGTTCACCAGTTCTCAAAGAGCTTCTAGGCATGCACCTGAGTCACAGAAGAGTTCAAACGTGAGAATTTCAATGGAAATATTTTTAACACCACAGAAAATTGATCTAAACCAGAAATCCTAGCAATTCTTCCAAGTTGCAATAAATAACACCGTTAGTTCTCCGGCAACGGTGCCCAAAATTATAAACTTTGGTTCCCATTTCCTTACTGATAGAACGTGGTTGAACAGGAACCAAGGTCCATTATGTAGAGCTTTGAGCTTGTTTTCTTCTTTTTGGAATTTTACTAAGAAAAAGTCAGATCTCAAGTCTATTAGTGGGAGGTCCTCTGAAGACTTCCAAAGTGTATGTAATTTTGTGCGTAGGATTTGGTGTCCAACTTCTCTGCCGAATACTTTAAGGATGACTGAGAATTTCCATAGTGAATAACCGGGTCTTATCAGTGGAGGTAAGGGATATAAAGGTTTCTTGGTGTAAGTCTATGGTTTCATCAGAGAAATCAATATTGGTGTGAGTCTGATGGCACGTATTGGCAAATAGGGTGAATTGGTTGTTGGAGAGCACTGTTTGTGCAAAGGTTGGATTTGCAAGAGTGATGGTATTGTCTTGATTTGGAGGTGTTTCAATATGCATTGAGCTCAAGTCCGGCGGTTCTGGTGGAGGAGTGGTGGTTGTGTCATTCATGTTTGAGAGCTTTTATCCCTTCGCTGATTATGATTCTTATGTAAAGTTCTATCTCTCTTTCTCTCATATTCTTGCCAATTCTCTTTTATACAAGAATAAAAAAACATAGACATAAGACAAATTATAGACAATATTAGAAAAAGAAAAAACATAGAACTCTACCTAAAAAATGTAGATGCTACACTTGCCATAAAAAAAAATACCATGCTAATGAGTGCCGAACAAAAATAAAAAAGAAAATAAACAACATATTAGAAGATGAAAGGTATTTTCTAATATTAAATAGAATTTTTAGTATTAGAGTAGAATATTTGATTTTCTAGAAAAATGAAAAATGGCTTCTTTAAATTGCAAATGGGTTCTTGATTTAAAATCTTATTTACACTTAAATAATTTCAAAATTCGTATCATCATCTTCTTCGGACTTTACCATATTTTTAAGACAAGCAGTAATAGTAGTATGATACCTTCATCTTAGTTACTATTATATTCCTTATCTTTCAGAATTCACCATTTAAATTAACTTTATGCTGAAAGTTCTTTCCTATAACAATTTTACTTTTACTTTATAATAAAGGGTTTATGGTTTGATTTGAGAATAGACATAACCCTTATATTTGGGTAAGGTTTCAACTATCTAGAAAGTTTAATTAACAAGAGGTGTATTTATAACATATAAGTATTGCAAGGGTACTTTAGGTGATTCACTTTGAAATTAATCCATATATTAGTATCATCATCGCTTTACTTTTTTAAAATATATTATCTATCTATACTATATTAAATGTGAAAAGCCTTAAATAGAAAGTTCAATTACCTAAATACCCTTCTAAATAACTTAAAGGCTGAATACATACGGAGACACTTAAAGTTGGCACGATTTTTCATTTAGACACCTAAACCCAAGGGTGTTCCTATTGAGCATTTATACTATCCGAAACTTATTCCAATTAAGCACTTCTTTGACAATCAGCCAAACTTACAAAGTTTGTGCAATGCACTTGCTGCTGACTTGGCGAATGACGAATAAAAAAGGACAAATATTATTTTGAGTAAAAAAAAAGGAAAAAACCTAAAAACACTACTTAACTCAGCATCTTCACTATATGTTCATGTGTGTTATTCACTATTTTCATGTGTGTCCTTGTTCCAAACACGGTTTTAATCCAAATTTTTAAGAGAAGCTCCTCCAATTTGTTATAACTTCAGCTAAAGATTCCCCACAACGACCCGAAGACAACCCTAATATTAATTTCCCAAACTTTCATCAAATCAAGTAACCCATTTTGAACCTTCAAGCTTTTTAAAGACCCCATTAATGGCTTGAGATGAGATGGGGTGCAGCTAGTTTCTTAGGGGTGAAGAAGAACCCCAAATCTTGAACAAACATCAAAAGAAAATCATTCACAAAAAGTAGTGCAGCTGAAATTAGCATTAATAGCGGGCCAAACTTTGAACTAAGACGAGCAAAGCCAAACTACTTCCCCAAATCGGAACGAACAAC